CTGACAGCATTTAATGACGAGAAACTGACAGCATTTAATGACGAGAAACTGACAGCATTTAATGACGAGAATCTGACAGCATTTAATGACGAAACTGACAGCATTTAATGACGAGAATCTGACAGCATTTAATGACGAGAATCTGACAGCATTTAATGACGATCTGACAGCATGACGAGAAACTGACAGAATTTAATGACGAGAAACTGACAGCATTTAATGACGAGAAACTGACAGCATTTAATGACGAGAAACTGACAGCCTTACCTCTGCTCGGTGAAGTAGAACGCTAGGCCCATCACACCATGACCAGGTACAATAAAAGTTTTCATCTTCCTCTGTAGCTGGTCAGTAACTACCTCGTCTGCCTTTCGCTTAAAACTTAACGTCATTTTAAGGACCACTAGCTACTGGCTGGTCTCTTTTACTATTGACTTGTTCCACCAGATATTTATGTCAGCTAAACACCGCCGCTTACTGAGTGATTCCTTTCAATTTTGGGTAAACAAGGAGTGATGAGTGACCACCATTGTTGTGGGTGCGTCGACTGTGAAAGCCAGTGATTGTTGCTCCTGTTAGCTCAGCGTCACGCCCACTACACTTAAAACGTTTGGGTGGAAAAAATCGACATTATTTCATTTTAGTCTTAAAATGGTTCAGGTTTGGCTCATTATAGAGTAAATAAATCATTATTACGTAAATATTCAAATAAGGATGAATAAAAACTAGTGCCATAACTACCGTGAATATAAGACACTACACAGTTTATAAAGAGTACTTGTATGTAATGGGAACAAAATTCTTCCCTTCATTCACTTAGTTTCTTTCTATGCTTTACATTGCTACGATCTCCATTTCGTTTTCTATAATGTTATAATCTTCGTTCACTAGGCCTTTGTTAATAAAATATAAATAAATAAACGCCGTCATTACAATTAGAATAAAGATCAAGTTAACATAGGCTTATCCTAGTCATTATATCAAGGTTAGCCATTTTTTTCGGGTTAGTTCTTGGATAAATAACTATAATTAGTCTCGGTCAGTCACCTTTAATCATTTTTTTAGTCCTCATGAGAGATAGTGAGGCGGGGTGACTGAGGGAGAAACAAGATGAAAATATGTGGGTTCGTAGCTTCGTGGGTGACGTCAGACTGGCCGGCCTGAAAAGACAGGTTCACCATCTCTCAGTCTGTAATAATAGCGGTGGATTAATAGCATACATTCTATACTAACCTAACCAAATCAAAACTAAACTTAACCTAACATAATCATGTATTTTTCAATTGGTCACAGAATTTAAACCAAAGGGGCGTAATTGGCCGCCCCCTCCCCTTCCCTTCCCACCCACCCGCCCACCTACAGACAACTTCCTCCTTCCACACTATCCAATCCACCCACTGACCCACCACGCCCACCACCACGCCCACCAATCACCACTATGTACCCACTTCCTCTGTGTGTGTGTGTGTGTCAGTTCACATCACCGTTATCCTGACCACTAACTACTGTCCTACCGTCACCCTCTCCTGACCACCTTACCTAACTACGCCTCTCCTTAGCTAACCACACTTCAGCTTGACTAACCACGCCTCTACCTTAACTAACCATGCCTAACCCTAACTAACCACGCCTCTACCTTAACTAACCATGCCTAACCCTAACTAACCAAGCCTCTACCTTAACTAACCATGCCTAACCCTAACTAACCAAGCCTCTACCTTAACTAACCATGCCTAACCCTAACTAACCAAGCCTCTACCTTAATTACACGATATAAACACAAGGAACCACCCAACCACCCATGGAAAGTTGACTGTCTGGCGTATGGTTTAAAAGTGTGGGTGTGTGTGTGTGTGTGTGTGCGTTTCTTTATACCCCCTTGAGTACGATGTTAACCTATGGGTATGGTGAATTGACCCACTGAGTACAGTAATATAACCTCTTGAGTATGATAACTTACTGAGTACGACGCCTTAACCCTTGGAGTATGACGCCTTAACCCTTGGAGTATGACGCCTTAACCCTTAGAGTACATCGTAACCCTTAAGAGTACGACGTCAAATCCCCTGAGAGTACGACGTCTTAACCCTTAGAGTACATCGTAACCCCTAAGAGTACGACGTCAAAACCCCTGAGAGTACGACGTCTTAACCCTTAGAGTACATCGTAACCCTTAAGAGTACGACGTCAAAACCCCTCAGAGTACGACGTCTTAACCCTTAGAGTACATCGTAACCCTTAAGAGTACGACGTCATAACCCCTCAGAGTACGACGTCTTAACCCTTAGAGTACATCGTAACCCTTAAGAGTACGACGTCATAACCCCTCAGAGTACGACGTCTTAACCCTTAGAGTACATCGTAACCCCTCAGAGTACGACGTCTTAACCCTTAGAGTACATCGTAACCCTAAGTACGACGTCATAACCCCTCAGAGTACGAAGTCTTAACCCTTAGAGTACATCGTAACCCCTCAGAGTACGACGTCTTAAGGCTGTACTCTGGTGGGGAAGTCATCGTACTCATGAGTTAAACATTAAAGCTAGGATATCATTCCAACATGCGTCACAGCCATGCGTCAATTGCTAAGCGCCATCCATGCGTTGAGGTGCACAGACAGGCAGACGGTGGTCGGTCGTCTCCCCTTTCCCTCCCTCCCTCCCTCTCTTCCCCCCCCTCCCTCCTCCCTCCCCTCCCTCCCCCCTTCCCTCCGAGACCCAGCACCGGATATAGCGGTACACACCCTGACTCTCCTTTTTGTGTCATCACCTGCTATCTTCTCCTCCCTCCCTCCCTCCTCTCCCTCCTCTCCCTCCTCTCCCTCTCTCCCTCCGTCACCCACCCATTACTTCCCATCTCCCTACCTTCTTCCTCCATTACCTCTCCACCCCTTCCTGTCCCTCCACCCCCTCCCCCACCACTTCCCCTCCCAAAGCCGCACTTCCTCCCCTGACTCCTTCCTCGCCTCCACTCCTTCTCCCTCCTTTATTCCTTAACCTAACCTAACCTAACCCAACCTAACCTAAACTAACCTAACCTAACCTAACCTAACCTAACCAAACCTAAACTAATCCAACTTAAAGATAAATTTAACCTAACCCAATTGAACCTTATTTTATGCCCTAAAACACGTGGGTTCTATTAAATCGATAGATGGGTAGTAGTAGTAGTAGTAGTAGTAGTAGTAGTAGTAATGGGTAGTGGGTGTTGTTGAAACTATCTCACCCATTCACACACAACCGGTAATAGTGTCCGGTGTTTTTCCACAACATCAATATCTTTTTGTGTTTTCCTGGCAACATAAGCGAGCGTGAAGATATTTCCATTAGTGTCTGAGTGAACATTTGTCAAGTTTCTTTTACCATTTAAAATATATGTATGAATCTATCTACCTATCTATCTATCTATCTATCTATCTTTTTTTTTCTTTCTATCTATCTATCTATCTTCCATCTATCTAACAGGTATAATACTAATAATCTAATGATCTTGAGCTTACCACTTACTGACTCGTTGAAATCCCTACACACACACACACACACACACACACACACACACACACACACACACACACACAACAAACACAACACAACCCACAAGTAGATGCCTTAAAGGTCAGCGTTCTCAACAGGTAGACGCCGTATAGGTCAGCGTTCTCAACAGGTAGACGCCTTAAGGTCAGCGTTCTCAACAGGTAGACGCCGTATAGGTCAGCGTTCTCAACAGGTAGACGCCGTATAGGTCAGCGTTCTCAACAGGTAGATGCCTTAAAGGTCAGCGTTCTCAACAGGTAGACGCCGTATAGGTCAGCGTTCTCAACAGGTAGACGCCTTAAAGGTCAGCGTTCTCAACAGGTAGACGCCGTATAGGTCAGCGTTCTCAACAGGTAGATGCCTTAAAGGTCAGCGTTCTCAACAGGTAGACGCCTTAAAGGTCAGCGTTCTCAACAGGTAGACGCCGTATAGGTCAGCGTTCTCAACAGGTAGATGCCTTAAAGGTCAGCGTTCTCAACAGGTAGACGCCGTAAAGGTGACCGGTCGAGCAGCAAGCGAGGAAGTGTTTCACCTTATTTCCACCACATCGGGGCAGCGGCTGGCGGGAGTTGTGTGGCGGTGACCCCAAAGTGACCCCAAGATGCCCTCATGGCCCCAAAGTGACCCCAAGGTGCCCTCATGGCCTCAGGGTGACTTCACGACTCCTCTCGCTGGGGTTGAGGGCATTAGTTAGAGAACAACAGTTGTTATTGTGGGTCAGATTGTTTGAAACACAATGTGGCAGAGAACTCCCAAATTGTGTGGGCAGTAATCCTATGAGCCAGAGGGGAGGGGAGGGCAGGGTTGACTCCAGCACGGCGCGCGTCAAGGAGAAATAATAATAATAAAAACCAGGAAGCCACACTCCCTTGGACACATAACCTAAGCCCGATCACATAACCAAAAACCCCTTTCACTTTCAAGCCCTAGTTTTTGTTTATCTTTGGCTATATCCCCTCTCTCTTGGGCCCTTCTAATTATATTCCTCATCTCCTGTTAGCGCCACAACCAGTTCCGTCTGCTCTAAGTACCATCCGAGAAACTATGTGAGTTGAGTTTTATAACATGGGTTTTGCTGGTGGTTAGTTCACCCTCCCACCGTTATGGATTTTGTGGCGCTGATGTCGTTTACCTGCGTCTGTTATTCAGTGTTATTATTGATGAGGTTATGATTGTTTGTTGTTATTGTAGCCTGTTCTTCTTTATCACCATCGTTATCACCATCATCACCATCGTTATCACCATCATCATTATCACCACCACCTCCATCATTATCACCATCATGTACACACCTGTCCCCAAAATATACACATAACAAACATACATACATACACACACACACATAACATACATACATACATTACATACATAACATACATACATACATACATACATACACATAACATACATACATACATATAACATACATACATCCATACACACAGGTACAATAAGCCAGGTACTTACCATTGAGATATGTGTGATGAATGCTAGCGCTATAATGAAGCCCGCACCAGGCGGCTCCAATTTCGCTGTAAAGAAGAAAAAAAGCCAATTAATACACATGATTATAGCGTAGTACAGTAGTTAATGGGGGAGGGGGGGTTGTTTAGGGTGTTGCGTAGCCGGTGGCGTGCAGCTTAGGTGTTGCAGTTTAGGTGGTTATATATACTTGACGGTTAGGGTACGTCTGTCTGCCTGTCTGAATTTCTGTCTGTCTGATTGTCTGTATGTCTGTGTCTCTAAGTCATAGGTGAGACGTCAGGTGTTCCAACATAATCCAAGTCCTATTTTAGAGACTTGGTAGGACCTCAGGGATCCTTAAACAGACATCAGGGATCCTTAAACAGACACCAGGGATCCGTAACCGTGTCAACAGGGGTCCTTATATCTTACAGGACATATATATCGTTCTGTTCCTTTCTTCTCTTAGTGGTCAGGTGTTCGCCAGGTAATGCAGCAGGTCCCAGGTACTGTAGGTTGTTTCACCAGGTCATAGAGGTAGCGAGTAGGACGCCAGCTGAGTGTCCCATATAGATTTTTTTTATCCTTCGAGATATAGGATTCTTTCGCCTGCTACAGATCACTGAGAGGCCTTCGTCAGGTCCTCAGATATTTCAGGTCAGGGATGTGGCACCAGGTCCTTCAGATTTCAGGGAAAGTTTCAAGATTCCTCACGACTTACAAGTCACAGGAATAATTCTTCAGGTCCTAGGAGGGAAAGTTTCAGGTCCCTTCACTTCTACAAGGCTCGCAGATCCAGGTGTAACAGATAGAGTCCCCTAGGTCCTTCAGGTCGACCCTAGGAACTCCTTAAAAAATGTGTGAGTGTGTGTGTGTGTGTGTGGGCGTCAAGGACTCCTGGTTCTGCTGGCCGCGTCCACACCCAACCTACCAACCCTGGCTTCGGCTACACTATAATGGCGTGGCAGGCGAACGCCTCTCACTCACTCACTCTCTCTCTCTCTCTCTCTCTCTCTCACACACACACAAAAAATCCATGAAACAAATCAACTTTACGAAGCTCTACAGATGTGACATACAGACAAACGGACAGATTGATAGACAGACAGAAACAGGAAGGTGTGTCAGGGTGGGCCCGGGGTAGTGGTAGTAGTGGTGGTTGTGGTAGTGGTGGTAGTGGTGGTATCTCAAGGTTACTCTACTACCATCACCACAACCACTGCTATTACCACACCCACCATCATCACAACCGCCACTACTACCCCCATCACAACTACCACTATTATCATCACCACAACCACTATTATTATCGCTACGACAACTACAACCACCACAATCATACCTCAAACTAACATCATCACCACTACTACCACCACCACCAGTAACCTGCTATGCTGTGCTACACTACCAGCTCTGCCCTTCGCTATGCCCGTTTTGGCACCCACGTCAACTGCATGTTTTATGTACCCTGCACTAACTGTACCCTGCACTACCTGTACCCTACACTACCTGTACCCTGCACTACCTGTACCCTGCACTACCTGTACCCTGCACTATCTATACCCTGCACTTCCTGTATCGTAAGTTACATGTACCCCCCCCGCTACCGGCACCATGGGCTAGTTGTATCCTACAATATATGTGTCATGGGTTACTTGTACCGTGAGCTGCCTGTAGCGTTAACTACTGTACCGTGAGTTGCCTGTACCGTGAACTACTGTACGGTACACTCTGTCATCACAACACCCGCCTCTAGCAGTGTCCGGGACAGCCATCAACACAACGAGAAGAAGTTGAGTTTTTGTATCAGTGGGCGTGAATCACCTGCTGCTGCTAGTGGCGCCAGTGATGGGTGGAGCGCCCACTACAGTAACTGGTTTAGTGGGTGGAGTAAGTGGGTTGATGTCCACTGTGGGTTAAGTAAGTGGAGTGGGTAAGTGGGTTGACTATCCACTGTGGGTTAAGTATGTGGAGTGAGTAAGTGGGTCGAATCCACTGTGGGTTGAGTATGTGGAGTGAGTAAGTGGGTCGAATCCACTGTGGGTTAAGAAGGTGGAATGTGTAAGTGGGTTGATATCTACTGTAGTAAGTGGAGTGGGTAAGTGGGTCGATATCCACTGTGGGTTAAGAAGGTGGAGTGAGTGAATAGGTGGACTTTCCTCTGTGGAGTAGGTATGGGTGGAGTGCCCAGAGTGGAATAACTGGTCAGTGGGTGGAGCACCTCACTGCTCCAGGTAATTAACCACCTGGTAACACACATATACAGGTAACCCGACCTTGAGGTAACACACACACACACACACACACACACACACAAACACACACACGAACCTGTGCCTATTAGTTTCTCGTAATTGGTAACACATGTGTCCCTATGTATGTTACGTCACAGAGACAGGTCGTACAAATGGTCGTCCAAGTCGTTAATATATTAAAAACTCTTGTAATTGTTAAAATGTTTAATAACTACCACAATTACAACGGCTACCACAATTACAACGACTACCACACTTACCAGGACTACCATAATTACAAGGACTACCATAATTACAAGGACTACTACAATTACAACGACTACCACAATTACAAGGACTACCACAATTACAACGACTACCACAATTACAACGACTACCACAATTACAACGACTACCACAATTACAACGACTACCACAATTACAACGACTACCACAACAAGTACCACAGTCTCAACACCCAGCTAGCATAAGATACAGGCGTGGCTCAGTGTGTACGCCCTGAGGCCTGTAATACAAGGACCTTGGTTCGAGTCCACAGTGAGTTGACGGAGAAGGAGGAGGAGAAGAAGAAGAAGGAGGAGGAGGAGAAGAAGGAGGAAGAAGAAGAAGGAGGAGGAGGAGGAGGAAGGAGGAGGAGGAGGAGGAGGAGGAGGAGGAGGAGCTTCTAGTTCAACAGGTAGCATGATCAAACACTCACCTCTTCCTTGCTGGCAAAATGGATCCAGAGAAAACCCCCCAACCCCAATAATCATGTCTCTTAACCTCACAACAGTTGTATGACCATAATACAACTGAGATCATCTGTATAGGTATCAGTGAACTACATCTACACTACACATCACAACACAGGGGAAGGAAGGGGGTGGTGAAAGGGCCAGCTGGAGAAGGGGCCAGCTGGGGGGTGGTGAAGGGGCAACTGGGGGGTGGTGAAGGGGCCAGCTGGGGGAGGGGGGGAGGCAGATGAACACTTTACTTGATGATGTAAACCGTGACGAGTGATAGTGACTGTGTTATATATGTCAATGTCAGTCTTACGGTGTTTACTTCACCATAACAATGCACCTTCACTATCTATATACATTGTTTGTATACCTGCACTGTTTATATACATTAAATATATGTATACACTGTCTGTATATATGATGAATCAATGTAAACTTGTATGGCGATTTTTACTGAATAAATAACCATGTATGTTTGTATGTATGTACCAACCACACTGGGGCTATCATCTATAATCCCTGTATAACTATAGGTAAATGCCTATAACTACTGCACAACTATAACCAGCCAATTGATGTACTGTACAACTACCACACAACCAAACCAGTACACACACACACACACACACACACCTTAATTTCCATCTCACCTGCCCATGGAGTACTAATTAAACCTTATAGGGCGAGTAGAGAGTAAACAACAGGTGAAAGGCGAGTGAGGCAGGTAGCTAGATAGGTAGATTCTATGCTGTAAAACAGGTGAGAGAGGAATAATTATGAGGTGTGAGGTAAAGTGATTAAAGGAGGGCATTAGTAAGACGTGTGTGTGTGTGTGTATGTGTGTGTGTGTTTTATAAGTACAATTTACGTAATAGTCAGTTTCCCACACTCATAATTTCGCTCCCACGATCCGCTATATTCAGTAACTTGAGGTCCTTACGTAGCCAGACTCCACCACACACTGATTGATTCTACGTAACATAAACTGACTAAATCATTATTATTAATATTATTATTATTATTATTATTATTATTATTATTATTATTATTATCATTGTTATTATTATTCTGAAGTTGGGTAAATGTCTTGATGTGTGAAAAGTTTGTGTGGTGGATGAAACCCCGGGGTGTAGTAGTAGTGGTGGTGGTGGTGGTGGGCTGTGATGTCTCCTAAACTAACGGGGAAGTGGCTGACCATCTAGGTGAAACTCACTTCATTTACGATTCTTCTGTTGATTCTTCACCATTCTCTCCCAACCACAGTGTTTTTTTTTTTTTACGTAGCAATAAAAAAGAAAATCCAACGCTGGTAGATGTGACTCAACAAAACAATATACCAAAACAAACAAACTGTGTCAGATTATATATCATGAGAGAAACTATGTTAATTTATGACTCATTTGACCACATGAAGTTAAAGGTGTCAACAATATTTAACGCGGGAAAAGCTAGAGAGAAAAATAGAAAGAACAAATAAAAGTGCGAATTCTTTCATTATTTCAGGGTTACGCTATAAAAAAAATCATATATACGACCCGGATTCTCAAAGATCCTTAAGATAAATATTTTCCCTTTTAACTGAAGATAGAGAACGTACCTAAGTGAGCCAAGCACCGTGAGAACGCCATTAATACATTCAATTACTTCAGGTGAAATGAAAAGAGCGTAACTTCTAAATACACCTTAGCATACGTTCTCTAATGTATGTATGTATGTATGTATGTATGTATGTATGTATGTATGTATGTATGTATGTGTGTATGTATATATGTATGTATATATGTATGTATAGGTAGAGTCACGTTAGACCCACTCATCGACAGAACGCCGCTTTAATACGTTCTTTTAACCCTAGTGAACGGCAAGGTGTTATCTCCTAGTAAACCTTAATACAAACGTTCTTTATTAATACAGGTTGTGAGGTAAATGATGATCGACTGGCCGTTCACTGAGACAATGCCGTTCACTGGGGGGGTGAACAGCTATTTCATCGTCAGTAGAGGCTTGGGAGAACGTTGAACTATAGCGGGGTTTTGACTCAAACAAATGATGAACGGATTACTGAGGTCACCTGTAGTTAACCTGTCTACA